TTTGAACATTTTCGACCTCTTGTCGGTCGGTCGTAGTTTTGCCGTTTTCTGGTTGAGAAGAGTGTAGCAGTTAAGACTGAAAAGTTATGTGACTTTACCTATGATGGGCTGCACAAGGTGTTTTCAGTCATTTCGAACCTTCGAGTTATAGTTATAATACAGTGCGTTTTACTTTTAATTATTATTTATCAGTTTTCATATTTATTTTTAATCATAGAAAACTGTATCCGAAGATACCTTATCGAACACACTTCAGAAACTGGGATACCCTAAAGACTGTCAAGTACTTGATTTTGGTTGTGGTACAGGAACAGTTGGAAAGAGTCTGAAGTTGTTGGGGTACACGGAAGTAGATGGTCTGGACGGAAGTGGCGGGATGCTGGAAGTGGCTAGAAAGAATAACATCTTCAAGAAGTACATCCACGCACTTCTTATTGAAGGAGAACAGCTGCCAATAGAAGACAATGCATATGATGCTGTTTTATCTTCTGGCGTCTTCTGGAGAGGACATGTTTCTGCCAACTCGTTACCTGAACTCTTCAGAATCATTAAACGTGGTAAGTTGATTATTAACTAACGCCATTTTTAATACAATTACAGTAATAATAATTATGGACCATAGTACTAACAACGGATGCTTGACTAGTGTAACTCTGACTTTTTTTACGAAACATCGCCCAGAAGCTGGAGAGATGAAAAAATGTAAAATTTTTGCTGCCAACTGTCCCTCTTTCAAAAGTTATAGACAATTGTAGTTCTTGCTTCTAGGAGAAGACATCAGGTACTTAGCTCAAAAATATTAGATTTCAATATAAGTTGTAAAGAACGTGTGCGCTAATGAGAAAAAATGAAGAAATATCAATAAAGTCCGTGTCCGTTCGACTCCACAATTTATATAAAAGTGTGATATTTTTAGGCTCAGTATCTGGTGTTTTCTCGTAGAATCAAGAAATTCAGCAGCCTATAACTTTTGAAAGTGGGAGAGCTGGCAGCAAAAATTACACACTTTTTCATCTCTCCCCAGGAGTAACTTCTGCGCGAAGTTTCGTTAAAAAGCCAGAGTTCCATAGATGTAACTAGGCATGTATCAAACCGATAGTTCGGTGGCCGAACATGTTCGGTCACCAAACTGTTCGCAACCGAGTATGTTCAGTCACCGAACGGTTCGCTACTGAACATGTGCGCTGCCGATCAGCGAGCCCTAGCTTGAGATGGTTACATGCGTGATCTGGACTAAAGGCAAATTGAATGAAATTGAAGCTTTTGAAGGAACTGACCAGTGAGAAAATAGATTAACTAAAGTACAATGTGAGGGAATGTGTCTTCTACCGGATCGCTACCGAACGTGTTCGGACGAAGATTGCAAATACGATAGTTTATATTTTTCTCATCAGAGACATCGACGAGCGCTCTGCTGACAAACTATTAGGGCAAAGTACCATAAACCTTATAAGGATACATTCAAATTAGAGCTGCAACTGTCTGTCTACTTTTTTTTGCACAGTGAGGAAAACCATTTTTTGCATGAAAACAAAGTAAATCAATCTGCTATACAGAGGCCACGTTAGTAAATAATTAGAGAGTAAATCAGATATAATGGAAACTAAAGGTACTTTCAACTTCCTGGAATAAAGTAAACATAAATTTCCTGCTCTGATCAAAACTTTCTTTACATGACCGCCTACGGTTACGACGTAATCAAGCTCCTCCGTTTGGTGTAATCGTCGCCATTTTTACTGTTTTTTTTATCAAGATTTCTTTCATGTGTTTCTTTGTTCTCAAGTTCTTAGCTTTGACAAGAAAAGACATATCTTTGAAAACAAATAGTGAAAAGACATGTCTTTTGAATAAAGACGAAACGTCTCAAACAGAAAATAGTCGATTTTCATGATGAAAAAGGTTGTGTATCTCTTATTATCTATATTGTAACTTTGTACTTAAATTATCTGGCAGCTGTAATTTTATAAAAACGTCTTTCATGCGTGGGGAGAAAATTTTTCAAATTTTGGAATTTTTCCAGTTTTAACCACGTCGGACTTTTTTCACGATTTCTACCAATGAGAAGTAAGCTCACACCTAGCAACATGTCTCTATACTGTGCTCGAGCTACTTACGGTTATTTTTTTCTTAAAGGTAGCATTATAAGTTGCCGGCAGAAAAGATAGTTATTTTACGGCTAATGCCTCCTATTTCGATAACGGCAAAGATCTGAGCAGAGATATTTTCGAATTAGTCATGTGGTTATGCTTATAAGTAAGTTGCAAAAAAACTTTTTCTTCAACTCGTCTGCAAAAAAACTCCAGCCAAATGTAGTTCGACTCAATATGTAACTTTCTTAATCTAAAATATGAAAACCTTTCTTTTACTTTGGTCAGCAAATTCATTTTCGGCACAGTAGTGACTTTTCAGATAAAAAAACATTTTTTTTTCTCAACTGGTCGGTCAGATTAATTTTCTTCACTAGTTGAGCATCCCTCGTAAGATATTATTTATAACATCATTTGTTTAAAATCAGCAATTTGAAATTTATATATTAACGCCTCATATTATTTCTCTAGGTGGTTTATTGGGGCTGAACCACTGCGAGTTCCACGGATGGTCAACAGAATTTACGGTGGAATACTTCGAAAAGAAGGTGAAAGAGTTGACAGACTCTGGTTTGTGCCAGCATCTTCAGGAGCATAATGTTGAGTTTGTAACCACTATTGAAGGAGCAACTTTACACTTCAAATATTATTTCTTAAAAAAATTATAAATGAAATATAACTTCGATGTACACGAAGTAATTGTCGAATTAAAAACGAGTCCGGGGGACATCGAACTATGGAAGAAGAAAAATTTTCGACCGGGTTTCTAGAGGGTTTTCAGGGCTTTAGAAAACCACAGTGATTTTCAAGGATCCAACATTGGATTTTTATTTCTATCACACATATTCAATAGAGAAAATTATTCTCTTTCGAACCACGTAAAGCGAGTATTTCTCCAAAATCCAATGTTGGATACTTGAAAATCATTGTGATTTTCTAAAGCCCTGAAAACCCTTTAGAAACCCGGTCGAAATTTGTTCTTCTTCTATAGTTCGATGTCCCACAGACTTGGCTACAAACTGACGAAAACTGTTTCGGAATATCTCGTTGCATTACCGAGTTATTCAAAGAGGCGCATAGTATCTTATATTTTGAATCCTATAGTAGTACTTCGATCCCTTGTGAATTAGTCGATTTTTTCATACGCAATTCGAATTGTAAACTACTTTCAATTTTATAATAAATATTTCAATTTTATTGTATCACTCATAGTTCGATCAGGTTCTTTACATAATTTCATCATTTCCATATAATAACTTCTCACTGGTAGATTACGTGCTTGTGTATAGGTTTCCACTTTACTGAACGCAATATCAGCGGAAAAAGAAGAAGTGAAAGATTTTTTAATCAATTCTACGAAATTATCCCATGAGTTGAATTGGTTCTTATTTCCATTATACCACACAAGAGTTTGGCCTAGGGATGGCACTTTACCTTTACGTTACTTGTAACTAGTAACGAACTTAGTTACTTCCTTACCAGTAACGAGTAACTGCTTGGTTACTGAGTTACTAGTAACGAGTAACTGCTTGGTTAGTTAGTTACTAGTAATGAGTAACTTATTCCGTTACTTAGTTACTTCGTTACTCTCGTTACTCCTCCAGAAAGTAACGAAAAACCGTTACTTTACAAAATAGACATGTGAAACACAACGGCGAGAATTTATTGCATATTTATGGGTGATGAATTCGGCAATATACACAGTCGTCAATTATTCGACAGAATATAGGCCAGCTGCGGATATCCAGTGTACAGCGGACGATCACCATAGCAGATCGCCTCTTTACAGAATGCTTTCTCATGAAAGTATTAAAAGATCGACCTACAATGTTGCTTTGTTTCGCAAATTTCCTGGTCTCATTCGCCTTTAATCGAATGTCATATGCTCATAATCTTGATAATTCGGCCAAATTGCTTATCGATCTGAGAATCTGACATGTTTTTTCATTGGCAACTATTTGTGAGGTTATTCCTTTCAGAATCGTTTTGCATCCAATGGTTAATAGCCAAAGAAGAATGTAACTGTTACACACACTTTATTTCAGTAAATTAACATCTATATATATAATTAGCTACAGAAAGATCCCTTTGGGAAACTGGGAAAAACAGCTATTGTACAAGAGAGAGAGCGAGGAGAATAGGAATGAAAAATACCCATGGGAAGGAGTGAACAGAAAGAGAAAATATATATCATAAAAAGCAGAAGAGTGGATACATATATCAGAAGAACAGAAACGGAAAATAACCATCGAGTGACGATAAGAATATGTATATTGAAAGATGACTGCTGATATGAGATTTAGTTTATACTTCCTAACATATTATTATTCCAAGACGCGAAAATCCAGATCTAACGCATAACAATGCTATTATGTTTTGTTATTAAAAAACCGACCTGAGCATCTTTTCTGGGTTTCTCGTCGATGTCATGTGGGTCTATTCGAATTGACCTTGATAAGATTTTGATAATCTAGCACTAACTATTGCTAAGATGAAAGTGTTTCAATGAAAATGAACACATTCTAACAATCAGGCTGAATGATATTGGCTATAATTTACACCGTATAGAAACATGACCTAATAGAAACTATAAAACACCTTTCGTTCCGCAAAACTGTTTACGCAAAAACGGAGCCAATGTCGTAAAGTATGATTTAGAATGCAATATATCACATGTCGATGAATTCCAATTAGGGAATTATTAAATCAGATAGCTAGCTAAACGTTTATTGATTATTTATGATCGATACTCAACTGAACTGATAGACGTCCAACATTATGAAGATGATTATCTGTCAGTCACAACGTTATACTAAACTAAATAATTTGTATCAACAGTGAATCCAAATGAAAGGTTTATTTTATAATTGAAATAAACACATTTGCGAGAAAACGTGCTTACTAGACGACAGATCAGCATACATAATCCTTCTCCGAAAGAAATATAGCAATCCGATGTCCGATCTTATCCAGATGTTCGAAACCTAAACTTCGATATAATTTCGGTCCGGATACTGCTCCACTGCCTCGATCGGCACAGTCAAGACAGAGCGAGCCATTTGTGTGTCGTCGACTGGCATCTCGACCGATGCAGACACCGATAAGATAATTGACTATAACTCTGCCCAAACCTTTGCCCTGATGTTGAATAGTCACTGCAATATCGGATAAGTAGCCAAGTGTTTGTTCCTCATTGTTATTCTTGTTTCGCATCATAAACATCCTCCCAAAACCGACTGGAACTTTGTTCACCTTATCAAAAATCACAGCCACAGCTGACGCCGAAAGGATTCGATTGTGTACTTCTTGTTCATCCCAATGTTTGGCCCAGAATGCTTCAACAGTCATAATTATCATGATCTGCTTAGCGTACGCTACAACCGCTTGCTTCTCTCCCACTAATGTATATTGTTCGTGATCGTATTGAATTAAATCATCATTGTCGTATTGTAAATCAGACGTAGTCACTGCCATAAATATCGGACTATTATTCTTCAATGCTGGTTTGTTTCTATCGATATCATTGTCGAATGTTGTAGGCAAACGCACGACAACACGTGCATTGTAAGTTTTACCGAAGTGGTCGTGAAGAGTTGAAATAAGATTTTGAAGTTGTTCATCATCACCCGGTACAATTGTGGTCTGAATGATTCCAATCAAAACCATACGATCGGCCCGATCGACAGCAAATCGTCCTTCAGCTGCTATTGTAGAATCCGTTTGTTTGATTCGAATAGAAGAATTCTCCTCATTGATATCAATATCAAACATGTTGTGCCTTGATAATCTGAAAAATATAATGAAAAGAAGTTCTACCTGATCGGTGGAGATCAAAGTTCTCGTGCCTTTACTATTCAAGAAAGCTGAAATCCTGTGCGAGTAGGAACCAATGGTTTCTAAGATAAATATGAACTTAATATCTTCGACAGCATTACTATCTGGAAGAGAATTGGACTTTTTTTCTCGGAAACCTCCTGTTTCCATTCAAAAAGCAGGAGAATTTCACCATCAGAGAATTATTCAAAGTTTTTCTATATGAAGCGTATTTATTTCTATAATTTCTATGCCAGAGATCAAATGTTGACACATCTAGACGATGCACATATATACCGTTATCAACAATAATAGAACGAGAAAAGAATTCATTGGCTATTCTGCTTTCATCAATCGAACCATCGTTGAAGCAGGTGACGCTACATGAAAGTTACGAAAATAAGTGAATATTCCGCTACGCCGCCTCTAAATTCGATCTTATCTTGTTGTAAACTAACAAATGCCCTAATTCTTGAAATGTTTCCTAGTTGCACCAAAATGTAGTCAAATGATGGGAAAATACCTCGCACCAGTTGCACCAAGTGATAGATTACTATGTACACTCTATCCTTACAACTATTCACTTGTCAGTCCTCAAACTCTAAGACGAAGAGGCGGCAACATATAACCGATGCGCTCTCAAACAATTCGGTAAACATAGATTAAGGTTAGTTTGTACATGATACTGGAACAGCAACCTCAAATGCTGCCGGTTGTTCATGTAGTTTTAAACTGGATAAATCAGCTAAAGAGAATCCGCTAACCAATTGCATCGCTCGTAAATATTTGGTGTGGTAATCTATTTACAAAGAGAACAAAAAAACAGCAGTTTAGAGTCCTGTGGGATCAAGTTTTTCGATCTCGACACAGGTTACTTCTGATCTTGAAAAAATTTCTCTTCCCAATCCCGATTCCGTAGTGTTCAGTATACAAGGAGCACCATACTTGTTGAGAAACCAGTGATATATGAATTTGTTTTGCTGAGCATTGTTTATAGATATAGATCTAACGTCGAAAAATATCAATTGCTGTAAATTTACTATCAATTCCGTATGCTGCTAATATAATTGGAGAAAATTTTTTATTGATTTAGCTAGCGGTTGAAACATATGAATATTTAAGAGTGGATTATTTGACTCAAACGCGTCTAAAGGCATTTTAGTGAACGCGTTAGGGAAAGCGTACTGTTTGCTTTACATAATGTTTAAAACACGTTGTTTCTGCACACAAACAACAAACGCACTTAGACGTATCAACAAAATTTTATAATATTTTCATCGTATTTAAGTCGCTAAAACTAGGGACATATTACAGTACATTGAAAATACGCTCTCATAATGCGGATTTGGGATTAACCAACGTTACTTTGCGAGATCAAAAACGTGTCTAAGGACTAAAATAGCACCACTGCAGCGTCCCAAGATAAATATGTCTTTATGGATCAATGTTTGTTAAAACTTCATATCTGCACATGTATCACAATGCTGAGAAAGTTTTGAAAATTTTCTAGACGAATTGTAAACGCGTTGTAAAACGTTTTGTCAATGCAGAAACGATGTTTTAGAAAACATTACCGCGTAAAAAACATATTCTTTGACCTTCCAATGGGTTCCAATGCTGTTATTTTAGTCCATAAACGCGCTTTTAATCTCGGAAGATAATGTTAAAAAGTGTTAGTTAATCTCAAAGCGCGTTATGAGAATTTGGGATGTAATTTTAATGTATTATAATACGCCTAAAATTTTACAT